AGATATATATATATATATATATATATAAAATCTAAATCAAACAACTGAAAACTTTCGTCCATCAAAGAAAAAGGGAATGCTTCACCACATTCACTGTGGTACATTAGAAACAGGGTATCCATTAAAAAAAATTAAAGCATATTTATATTGGATCAACCTGATTTAGCCACCCTAACTAAACAATATCTGAGGTTTAACTGATTTTTTTAAATCACGTATTTTTTTAGAATTACTAAATCAATACCTTATTTTGTAAAGTAGTGGGGTGTGGGAAGGGGTGGGTTACCCAAGCAAATGGCTGCTAAATATGCAACATGTGAAAGAGAGGGATGGGATCTTGTCTGGTTAATTGCCATAGCTACAGAGCCTGGTTTTCAGAAGGGCTAAAGTACTCCCAGCTCCTGTTGACTCCACCTGGAGTTGTGGTTATTCAGGACGTTTTAAAATCAGGCCCACACTAACATGTGGGGGGAAAGAAAGTAGTGTTTCCATCTTACAGAAAGACCTCTAGCTTTTTCCTTTCTGTTCCACGTGCTTCCTCATTGCTGTTTTCTTTTTGTGAATGACAGTCGAGTTTTGTCCTTGGAAAAGGTATGGGAAAAATCAAGCTAGCCTTATTTTCTTCCTTTTTGCACTCGGTGTGTGAACTCTTTGTATAAATAGAGATCCCCAGGCACCATTGAGTTGAATATGAAATAAATACATGTTGTTCTGTTTCTGTACAAATTCTAATGTGACACACAAAAAGGTCTCATTTACTATCAACAATGAGGCTACAAGGTAGCTACCATGTGGCTGATGAATATGCTGAGGTACCTTCCTGTTTCTATTCAGAACTCTGCTGCTTTATTTATACATTCAGAAACATTTTTTATTATTTTGAGCAAATAAAGTAAAACAATCTCAATGTTTTTTTATTAAGCCGGTCAGGCAAAGAGGTATCAGGATGCCTGTCACTTTAAACTGTTATAAATACATTCCATGTTAGAATTGTTTAACTTTTTGCCATGCTACAACATTTAATATTGTTTAAAAACCAAAAAAGGGGAAGAAGAAGAAAGACAAAGGGTCCTATAAATCCAATTAATCATCTTATTTTATTGATCCCAGTATTGATTAATTGGTAGCTCATGAGTTGTAAACAGTTATATATCAGCAGGTAAGAAATAGCATATTCAAAATACAGAAAATGCTTAGATGGGAGTCCTTATTTGTAAGAATCAAAGATGAAGTAAAAGAATACAGATGAAATCTACTGAATGCAGCACACCTATCTGCCCTCTAGGTATCATCATAACAGAGATACCTAATTGCTTCAAAAAACTGAAGCTGATTTTCTTTATGTTCTAGCTGACAAGGTTCTTAGTGGTTTTTTTTTTTTTTTAAGTGCTGAATTTGTACATTCAGTATCTATGTCATGCCAATTTAGCCTTAAATATCAGGAGAGTTCCTGAAAGGTTGCAGAAACTACTCCAGAAGTCTAAGGCAATGGTGCCTAACCCAAGTGTCTGGAAATAAAATCAAATCCATAAGCTGAGCTGCATATGTACTTTCCATCACATCCGAACTCTTGTAAATAGTCAAATTTAGACTTTTTTTTTCCTTTTCAAATAAATGTAAATGAGAGGTGTCAGAAATATGCTGGGAAATTCGGAATATGTAGTTGTCACTGACGATTGAAAGATAATTGGTATGATGGAACTAAATACAGTATAATATATTGTATTTGGAGCTGCTAGTGACATATCCAGGGCCTAATTCAGGGCACTGAAAAGTCTTATTGTCCCAAGTGAACTAAAATGCTTAGGGAGCCCTCTTCCTATCTGGCTCTATTGCTGATTTTGTTAGCACTGGTCACCTGTGACAGTCAGGCCTAGAATTTTGGTTGCCCTCGTCTTCCCTTCCGCTGAAATGAACTCTTGAAATGTCCCTAGCGGATGAATACTAGTATGGTTCTGTTTGCCAAGGGGTTTAGACTGTCTTTACATGATAGTTGAGACATCCAATGTAATGCAGAACTAGACTTATTTTAGAGCAATTTCATCATGTTGTATTATCTTCTGCTGTGGCTGCATGCACAACTGTGGAAGATGACAGATGGTGATCAGGAAAGTGAGGGATTCTGCAATGGGATTAAGCATTAAAATGGATTTTTACATGAGTAAAAATCAAATGAAGGGTATTATTTATGTGTGTGTGTGTACCAAAATTCAGCAAATTTGAGGAAGCCTGCATTGTAATAAAGTTTATTTTTAATATGTCATAGTATTTTGATCTATATTATGTTGTCTATGGTACTGAAGGATGAGATTAATACTTAATGTGTAACAAGCTGCCTTGGTTCATAATTTTAAGTTTGACGGTGCTTATCAGTCAGCCTCTTCATTTTAATGCTGAGGTTGACATGAGTGAAACAGGTTTAAGGAGACTCACTGAACTGTACCTATGGTAAGAGTCATGCTAAAGAGTGATAATGGGCTTAAAGTAATGAATCAATCCACTTTTAGTGATGAGACCAAATGTGGTAGTAGAAGATAGTTATGTTTGACCCCCCACACAGTTAAGATTTCTTTTCAGAACTTTATTTAACATGAAATTGGTCTTGATGCAAAAGAAGTGCCCCGGGGCAAAGGATTTTAGAGATCTTCTAGGAAGCCCATCTGAACTGAGGAAATACTAACGGTGTGATGGAAATTCAAAAGAAAACAGAAACACGCTGACTATTCCCATCTTTTCTGTTTGATGGCATTTCTTTTCTCTCCAGTAGTGGTGATTCCTTTCATTTCTGATACATGCAAACACACAATCATGCACAAACATTAACAGAAGAAGGGTTGAATCAGCAGCAGACTTTTTATATTCCTCAACAAAGTGGATTTCTGGAATCCTCAAGCAGCAAACCTGGAGTGTGAGTCAGTGAGGGAGGGAGTTATTTTTCTCTCAGAAGAAGCACCCACCTTCCACTTCGGTCATATCATCCAAATAGACTGGAATGCTGTACGCACCTGTGAGACTCTTCGTCATGCCTCAGAGAATGCAGAAGAGACCATTAATCTCCCTGTTATGAATGTCTTCTTTGTTAAACAGAAAAAGATGAGAAAAGCTGTACAAAAAAAAGTTGCTTTTACTTCCAATGATGAGAAAAACTCTTGTGTTTAAATCAGTTGTTCTTGTTCTTATTCCATGCCCATGATATTTGAGTTCCTTTCATTTTAATAGCAATTTGTAAGAAAATGCAAAATGTTAGCTATTGACAGGTCCACAAACCCATTTTTCCTTGGAGGGCCAAATCCTGTGATGTGTTCAGCACCTCCTAAGAGCTGGGCCCCTTGTTTAAAAAAATCTGCTTAGCATTAATTATATTTTCTGAATGTTGATTTCTGTCTCTCGGGTGACATATTTATGTCTGGTGGATTTTACAGTCACATATTTTGAAAAACTCCAAAAATGAAGCTTAGAGAGGAGAACATGATGTTCAGTGTAACTAAGTATTACTAAAGATGCTGCCCAGGAAATAAGGAAATCCACCTCTCTCTTTCCCCTCCTTTTTAAGGAAAAACCTGTAAAACCAGGAAGCATCCAGAATTCATACAGAAACGTTTAATTTTTCCCCCCATTTAAAAATCAATAAATAAAAGCTTCCATTTAAGAAAAATCAAAGCGGCTTTAAGGATAGACGAATTCCTATCATGAAAACATGTTTCACATAAGTGAAACAGAGGTTCTTTAAAACAGACCTTGCTGTATCCATATTGTAGACCAAAGGACCTCTGTGAGCCATTAAATTCTGAATCTTATTTATAAGGGCATCATAGTGCTGATATCTCAGACTGTCACTGAACGAGCTGTACTGTTTTGATTTCTTTCTTTTTAATTTTTATTTTCCATTTGTACCACAATCCTAATAGCTGCCATTTTCCCACTCGTGGGGCTTTCTGTAGATCAGTGGATGTTAGGTTTAAACTTCTGTTTTCTTTGATGAAGCTTTCAATAAAAAAAAACATAAAAGAAAAGCAACGGGTGACTGCGTGTTCTTGTGACACTTTGCAACAGCGGCTCCCTGAAGCATTAAGCCCTGTGAAATGCTGTGTTATATGCTGAGATGGGAGGGGAACTTCAGCATGCTCTCCTTTACCTAGCTCCTTGTCACATGGTTTTAAGAATTGAATCTCCTGAGAGACAAGATTGCTGTTTCTCCTTAATGGTGGGAGCAAAAAATCACCCATGTGTTAGAAGGTGGAATTGAATAGAAAGGTTCTCTCATGCTGAGACCTTGTGATTAATACGAATGTTCACTACACTCAGACACCCCCCTTCCACACCCTCTTCCCCCCATAGGGTGACCAGATGTCCCGATTTTATGGGGACAGTCCTGATATTTGGGGCTTTGTCTTATATAAGCTCCTATTACCCCCCACCTCCTATCCCGATTTTTCACACTTGCTGTCTGGTCCCACTTCCCCTCCCCCCCCCCCGCCTACCCACTGATTAGAACATTCCTTTGTTTCTAAGGTTTATGTTAGATAATGTTTTAGCTTTTTAAAAAAACATTGAATAGAGACTTACATGCTCGTCATTTTCAGCCCTGAAGGCTGACGTCCTTTCTTCACATGCAGCACAGTTGGTAGCAGTGTGCACATCCCCAAATTGCCCCCTGATGTGCCTCATCTAGAAATGAAATTGGGGAAAAAATGAGCCCCCACCTCCAGCCACTTCTCCCACTGGGGGCCAAAAGCACATGCTCAGTGAGCCCTTTTCTTCTCCAAGCCATGGCTGTGGCTCACGCTGGTTCTGGGAATACTGCTGACTAGCTGGCCACCCATAATCACTCTCATTCATTCTCTCTGTCTCTGTCTCACTCACACACACACACACACACACACACACACTTCTGT